CCCCCCCCCCCCAAAAAAAAAAAAAAACAACAAACGAATCATCCCGATTGGCAGGGCAATCAAAGATGTTCTGGACACGTGGACTAAAGTGAAAATACGAAAATTTCCAATAAAATTAAATAAATGAATTATGAGTACAATCTTAAATGATAGAATGTAGAGTTATTAAGTAACTTGTGACAGTGTTGTCATTTTATCAAGTTGCTACAAGGTTATCACTCACAACTTGTTAACAAGGACGATAACAGGTTGTTGGAACAACTTGTAACAAAATCTGCTGAGTTAACAATCTTGTAACAAATTGTCAACAAACCTGTAACATCTTGTCAACAAGCTTGGGGAAAGCAGGCGAACACATCCTGATGACAAGTTGTTGAAACAGCATTGGTACAAATCTGCTGCGGGTTTGTTACAAGTTGTGCGTTTCCACATGGTGTAGTTGAGACACACCCCGGACCTGTATTTGATATATTAAATAATTTATGTTTCGTTTCAGCCTGCAGTGTGTCGAGTAAGGAGACAGTATTAGAATGCGGTTTTGGTCAAGACATGTGCAATTGGCTGCCTGTACCTTCGCCGAGTTGGTCTCGAGTCGAGGACGTAAAGTTGAGCTCGTATGATAACTTTGGTTGGAATCTACCTCCAGATTTTTATCATGTTTTTGTAATTTCCAATGGCTCACAACATCCAGGTATAACTATCGAGTAATTTCTTCGTCTTCAGATCATACAGAGGTAGTACATATTTTTGAATGTGGGCTACGTTAAAGTGATCTGATGTTGTACACATCTAGAACTCACTGCTGAGTTAAGCATGGTTAGATCATGCAGAGGTAGTACATGTTCTTGAATGTGGGCTACCTTAAAGTGATCTGATGTTGTACAGAACTCATTGCTGAATTAAGCATAGTTAGATCATGTCAAAGTAGTACATGTTCTTGAATGTGGGCTACCTTAAAGTGATCTGATGTTGTATAGAACTCACTGCTGAGTTAAGCATGGTTAGATCATACAGAGGTAGTACATGTTCTTGAATGTGGGCTACCTTAAAGTGATCTGATGTTGTACAGAACTCACTGCTGAGTTAAGCATGGTTAGATCATGTCAAGGTAGTACATGTTCTTGAATGTGGGCTACCTTAAAGTGATCTGATGTTGTACAGATCTAGAACTCACTGCTGAGTTAAGCATGGTTAGATCATACAAAGGTAGTACATATTCTTGAATGTGGGCTACCTTAAAGTGATCTGATGTTGTACAGAACTCACTGCTGAGTTAAGCATGGTTTAGATCATACAGAGGTAGTGCATGTTCTTGAATGTGGGCTACCTTAAATTGATCTGATGTTGTACAGAAATCACTTCTGAGTTAAAGGGATACGGCAATATATATTTTTTATTATTTCATTTGGAAGAACTTTTAAAATTATATGTAAATCTCTTTTACCGATTTTGCGTAACTTTATTATTTCTTGAGATATTTGAACAGAAAAAATCACAAATCAGCGAGCTTTCCGCCATCTTGGATTTTGGCGGATATGCACGTGACATCATAAGCAGGGTCACGCAATAATTTTATCCATAGAACAATCGGTTATTATGAGCCCAAAATCATATACTTCAGGAACTATTTGAAATAAAAAACTGTCTGACGACTTTTCAAACAAGTCTTATGTTATCTGGTCATTTAGATGTAGTTTTATATGGCTAACCCTGCTTATGACGTCACTAAAATCACCGATAATGAGATAAAAATTAATCCAAGATGCCGGACATCAAATTATTTTAAGTCAAAATATTTCAAGAAATAATAAAGTTACGCAAAATCGATAAAGGAGATTAATATATAATTTTAAAAGTTCTTTAAAGTGAAATAATAATAAAATATATAGCCGTATCCCTTTAAGTATGATTAGATCATACATGCTTTGTGAAATATATATTGAATAGAACTTCTTTTTTAAAGGCAATTACAGTAAATCACAAGCTAATGACGCATTTCTATGACACATACTGGCGCCAATACACTTTGGAGTTTGACCACAAATCACGTCGTTTGAGTACTAAAATAGAAAAACCCACTTAAATTTAAAGTTCACAGATAAAGACGTGTTTGTATCGCTTTAAATCTAGACATTTCACTACCTAAGGGACATTTAGCTTTGAGATTTAATTGTTTTGTTTATGTGGAAGAACCATGTCTACGTAAGCCCCCCTCAAAGGAGAATGACAGTTTGCAGTCACGAATTGTTACGGGGGACATTTCAAGCTCCATATTAACAAAATAAAGGTTTGATGACTGTTCCAACTAACGTTTTAACTTTCCTTGACTTGGACCAAGTTATGTGACTGCCTAATCTCGTACCCTCTCATTGTCGTGGCAAAGCTATCGATCTAACTCAAATCACCATCAGTGCAAAGAATATTACTACTGTAATCCTTAGTTTTTTCCTCCAAATCATGACACATAACCAAAATAGACAACAATGTCAAAGGTTCAAATATAGCATACATGGTTTAAAAATAAAGTCGATGTTATTTTAATCAGTTTGTTTCTTAAGTTGTTTTTCTGAAGTGAGTTAATGAGCCGAAACTAAAGTGCTTTGCCCCCAGTGTTTTCCCTTATTCCAAAAATAACTATCGTGAATAACAGTCCACATTCGAGAACACGTGCTACCCATGTGTGATTTAACCATGCAGTTCTGCACAACGATGGATCACTTTAATAAGGTAGCCCACAGCGAAGAACATGTACTACACACCCAAAAATCTCACATTTTGTAGCAAGTCTGTCAACAAGCTGTCAACAAGTTGTCTTCGCACTGCTTGTCCCAAGTTGTCAACAAGTTTGGAACAAGCTGTTAAAGTGTATATGACATGAAATTTCTTATTTTCTTAAACGAAAGAACTCTTTAAGTTGTAGTGTAACTTATTTTTCAGTTTCTTGTTTTTATGGTTTGTTTCCGAGATATTTGAATTTGTTTGATATGTAAATGAGCATGAATATGTCCGCTAATTTATGACGTCATGTTGGTTGCAAGCTCAACTTACACTGGTTATAAATGTATTAACTCTAAAAACTGTTGATATCAGTTCACGTTTTTCTCCAGTATTTCATCACATTTACCAGTGAGCGAAGTTTGAAATTATCATCTTGGATGATAGCAGTGATATTCAAGCCGTCAACAAGTTGTGTTCGCACTGCTTGTCCCAAGTTGTCAACAAGTTTGGAACAAGCTGTGAACAACTTGGAACAACCTTGTTGATATTATCAGGCTTGTTGCAAGGTTGTTCCAACAAGTCCGATACAGCCACGATTTTACAATACTGTTTCAAGCTTGTGTCGTCAGCCTTGTAACATTCTTGTTATATCATGACTATATCAGACTTGTTAGAACAACTTTGCTACAAGTCTGATAATGCCATCAAGCTTGTTGCAAGTTGTTAACAGCTTCTTCCAAACTTGTTACAACAACTGGGAGCAAGAACTGCGAACACAACTTGTCGACAGCTTGTGAACAGATTCGTAACAACTAGTTTGCAGACCTGTGACAACTTGTGCGTTTTTGCGTGTGACATCTGCATGATCTAACTATTCTTAACTCAGCAGTGAGTTTTGTACAACATCAGATCACCTTAAAGTAGCTCACATTCAAGAACATGTACATTTTTGCTTCAAGAACATGTTTGCTTCATCTAGCCATGCTTAACTCAGCAATGAGTTCTGTGCAACATCACATCACTTTAAGGTAGCCCACATTGAAGAGCATGTACTACCTCCTGAATGAATTAACTATTCTTAACTCAGCAGCGAGTTCTGTGCAACATGAGATTACTTTAAGGTAGCTCACATTGAATAACATGTACTACCGCTACATGATCTAACCATACTTAACTTAACAAGGAGTTCTGTACAGCATCAAATCACTTTAGGTAGCCCAATTTCCAGAACGTGCAATACCTCTGTATATGATCTAAGCATGCTTAACTCCGCAGCGAGTTCTGTGCAACATGAGATCACTTTAAGGTAGCTCACATTGAAGAATCTCTGCACGATATGACCATGAACAACCTCTGCATGATCTAACCATGCTTAATTCTTCTATGCAACGTCAGATCACTTTAAGGCCCACATTGAAGAACATGTACCTCTGCATGATGTAATCACACGGACTTAACCAGTATATTTTTGTTTGTATTTTAGTTCGATTAGTCAGTCCAAAGTTTCCCCCGAGAAGTTCATGCACATTGACATTTTTATACAAGATGTTTGGAATTCCACCCGCGATCTTGTCTGTACTTGTGTCAGAGGAAGGCGGCGTCACCAGTCATAGTGGTGAGGAAACATAAACTAAACTAACTGTATTTACACTGGATAGTTCTATCACTTCTAACTGTTCTCCTTAGAGGTCTAGTAAGGATCATCTTTTATTGTTCCAGTGTTAACGACAGGAGGGAACCCAAACTAAACTAACTTTTTTTTACTGGATAGCTCTATCAGTTCTAAACAGTTCTACTCAGAGGTCCAGTAAGGATCATCTCTTATTGATCCAGTGTTACTACAGGAGGAAACCTAAACTAAGCGAACTTTATTTACACTGGATAGCTCCATCACTTTTAACTGTTTTCCCTAGAGATCCAGTAAGGATCATCTCTTATTGATCCAGTGTTACCACACGAGGAAACCTAAACTAACTTTATTTATACTGGATAGCTCTATCAGGGGTAAACTGTTCTTCCTAGGTGGTCCAGTAAGGATAATCTCTTATTGATCCAGTGTTACCACACGAGGAAACCTAAACTAAACTAACTTTATTTATACTAGATAGCTCTATCAGTTCTTAACTGTTCTTCCTAGGGGTCCAGTAAGGGTCATCTCTTATTGATTCAGTGTTATCACAGGAGGAAACCTAAACTAACTTTATTTATACTGGATAGCTCTATCAGGTCTAAACTGTTCTTCCTAGGTGGTCCAGTAAGGATAATCTCTTATTGATCCAGTGTTACCACACGAGGAAACCTAAACTAAACTAACTTTATTTATACTAGATAGCTCTATCAGTTCTTAACTGTTCTTCCTAGGGGTCCAGTAAGGGTCATCTCTTATTGATTCAGTGTTATCACAGGAGGAAACCTAAACTAACTTTATTTATACTGGATAGCTCTATCAGGTCTAAACTGTTCTTCCTAGGTGGTCCAGTAAGGATAATCTCTTATTGATCCAGTGTTACCACACGAGGAAACCTAAACTAAACTAACTTTATTTATACTAGATAGCTCTATCAGTTCTTAACTGTTCTTCCTAGGGGTCCAGTAAGGGTCATCTCTTATTGATTCAGTGTTATCACAGGAGGAAACCTAAACTAACTTTATTTATACTGGATAGCTCTATCAGGTCTAAACTGTTCTTCCTAGGTGGTCCAGTAAGGATAATCTCTTATTGATCCAGTGTTACCACACGAGGAAACCTAAACTAAGCTAACTTTATTTACACTGGATAGCTCCATCACGTCTAACTGTTTTCCCTAGAGATCCAGTAAGGATCGTCTCTCATTGATCCAGTGTTACCACACGATGAAACCTAAACTAACTTTATTTATACTGGATAGCTCTATCAGGTCTAAACTGTTCTTCCTAGGGGTCCAGTATGAGTCATCTCTTATTGATCCAGTGTTACCACACGAGGAAACCTAAACTAAACTAACTTTATTTATACTGGATATCTCTCTCAGTTCTAAACTGTTCTCCCTAGAGATCCAGTAAGGGTCATCTCTTATTGATTCAGTGTTATCACAGGAGGAAACCTAAACTAACTTTATTTACACTGGATAGCTCTATCAGGTCTAAACTGTTCTTCCTAGGGGTCCAGTATGAGTCATCTCTTATTGATCCAGTGTTACCACAGGAGGAAACCTAAACTAAGCAAACTTTATTTACACTGGATAGCTCCATCACGTCTAACTGTTTTCCCTAGAGATCCAGTAAGGATCATCTCTCATTGATCCAGTGTTACCACACGATGAAACCTAAACTAACTTTATTTATACTGGATAGCTCTATCAGTTCTAAACTGTTCTTCCTAGGTGGTCCAGTAAGGATAATCTCTTCTTGATCCAGTGTTACCACACGAGGAAACCTAAACTAAACCAACTTTATTTATACTGGATAGCTCTATCAGGTCTAAACTGTTCTTCCTAGAGGTCCAGTAAGGATAATCTCTTATTGATCCAGTGTTACCACACGAGGAAACCTAAACTAAACTAACTTTATTTATACTGGATAGCTGTATCAGTTCTTAACTGTTCTTCCTAGGGGTCCAGTAAGGATAATCTCTTCTTGATCCAGTGTTACCACACGAGGAAACCTAAACTAAACCAACTTTATTTACACTGGATAGCTCTATCAGTTCTAAACTGTTCTTCCTAGGGGTCCAGTAAGGGTCATCTCTTATTGATCCAGTGTTACTACAGGAGGAAACCTGAACTAAACTAACTTTATTTACACTGGATAGCTCTATCAGTTCTAACTGTTCTCCCTAGAGGTCTAGTATATGGACCAGCCCTTATCGTACAGATATTACTTACACTGGGCCCCACGTTTGAAAAACATTAAAATTTTCTGTTTTTTCCCTTCAGGTTGGATAATGCGTGATGACCAAGGTGGACCGTACTGGCGTCAAGGTTATGTAAAATTATCAAACTTTCCCAAACTCATCCGGATTATTTTCGAGTTTACCCTCGCTCGTAAACCCGAGCCCAACTTTCCCATATCCCATGGCAACGTGAGTATCGATGACGTCAGATTGGTATGTGAAAGGATAGAGAGGAAGACTGTGGATACGGATGTGTGCGTACAGCGTAAGATCCCTTCAGCTGGTTGCATACATCCTGCTACCCAGCCCACTGTTAAAGGTTTGTAGTTTACACAGTCAGCAATTTTACTAAACACAAAATAATAGTTAAATATTGCCAATAGACAATTCCCATTATAGACTAATTTTAAAATTAGGTAAGGAAACTCAAATAAATCACCACAGCTAGAAAGAGCATACTAAAATTAGTAAGATTACAAAGTTTGGTTGCGAAATGTTGTAGAATGAGGAAAGTATAGCCTTGCAAAGTTCGCAAATTTTGTATACTTTTGTATTGCTTGCGGAAATTCCTACCACATTCCTACCACATTTAGGCCGAAAATGTCGCACGCAATACAAAAGTATACAAAATTTGCAAACTTTGTAAGGCTATATTTTCCACATTTTACAACATTTCGCAACCAAATTTTGTAATTTTACTAATTTTAGTATGCTCTTTCTAGCTGTGGTGATTTTATTTGCATCTCCTTGCCTAGTTTTAAAATTAGTCTATAATGGGAATTGCCAATTGAAATAGAATTATCATTGCTGCTGTAAATTTGACGCTATATTTATACAACAATATAAGCAAAACTTACTGAACTTCAGACATCATTTTCTCTTTGGCGTACCATCTAAAACCTCTTCATTTTAGCATAATTTTACAGATAAAGCACTAACCAGGTGTTGTTTGTGAGTCATGGTCGTACTAGACTGAGCCATACGTCAAGATATATCCTTCAAAGTAAACTCTGTAAAACTAACACTTTCCAGTCTTCATACTACAATCGTGTTGTAAAGATTTGGAACACAGTGTGCCAAGAAGTCTCACCTGACATTTTCCGTAATCCAAACTCGTTTAAACACTATCTTAAACGTAGATACTATACATTAATTAGTAATGTTTATGACGTAGACATGGCTTGTACGTGGTCATTAACTCGTGACTGTCCTTGCCTTAGGACTTAATACCACAAGTAATATATATATATATATATATGTGTGTGTATATTTAATTAACTATATCTAAACTAATTACGGGGAGCACCCTCGCATGGGACTTTTAGTGTCTTGTTTGTGCTTTTCCGTTTGAGTGTATCTACTAATTTGTGATTTGTGACGTGTGTTTTGTCTTTCGTTTGTCAAGTATTTATCTCTGTACCTGATATAGGACGTATGTAGATTGCTCAATAAATTCATTAAATTAAATTAAAATTAAAATAATAACGTTTCCTATCTCTATCACTCTTAGGTCCAGCTTATAATTTCGTCACAGTCGTGAACAAACAAGTGTATGTAATAGCGAAAGGTCGCTTCGATGACTTGATTGCGAGTTACGAGTTCAAGATACACGTTGGCGGTGAATACTCTATCTGGCTTCTGGCTTATGGTACATCTACGGGGGATAATAGTTTGAGGTTTAGGATAGACAATCTCGATCTTTATTTGTGGGATACCACGTTCGTTGAGGGAGGAAGGCCTATGTGGACACAGTATATGTACGAGGTAGGGAACAATGATTTCTCACTAGTATTCTACAGTTAATGGCATGGGCGTACGGCATGGGCGT